TGTAAAGAGGACGGACTGGACGTGAAGTGTTGAAATGTCTGAGCTCACTGAAAAAAATAGGTTCACACACACAATTAAGTTAAAGTGGAACATTCACAACGTTAAGTCGGTATCTCATATAATTCCAGATATTAAGGAGTTTGGAAAATAGTTATTTCTTTTGTTACTTTTGCAGATGCTATTGTTGGTTGTGTTCTTGGTGTATTGTTTGAGTTGACCTAGGTGTCGACTGTTGTCAGAAGCGGCGCGCGTAATGCGGCTGAAAAGTGTTTGGTAAATGGCCAGACAAGGAAGTGATGAACAAAACCATCTCTTTAATAAGAGAACTAAAACTAAACAAAACCATACAAGACAAGGTGAAACACAAAACTCACGGTCGGTATCAGTCCCAGGTCAGAGCCAACACATACATCCAGGGGAATCCAAAGTTCGTTGTCCAAAAGAGAAAGTCCGATAATCATACACCGTGGCAGTCCATAACAAGTGGGCGAGGCAGAATAAAATAGTCCGAGGTAACAGTCCGAGATCAGAAACACAAAATACCAAAACTGAAGAAAATGCTGGAAAGTCAGAGCTGGGGTCTAGAACAATCTGGCAGCGTCCTTGTGGGAGGACGCTGCCTAAATAGAGGTGTAAACAGGTGCAAATAATAACAAAGCAGGTGAAACTAATGTGAGTGATGAAGAACGTAAAAAGACTGAAACTAAGGTGAAACAAAAACGGGGAAGTAATGTCAAAATAAAAGCCGGACGGGAAGCAGCGGAACCGAATCATGACAGGTGTACTCATATACTGTGTAAAGAAATATCCTTGAGGCGAGTCTCTTATGTATCTTTCTAAACTTCCTGACATTGAACTTTTTATAATTACTTTGTTCATCACTAAATAGATCCCAGATCAGATGAGGAATCCTGAATTTTCTAATTCTAGCTAAATTATCCAGATATTTTGGTTCTTCAACCCCCACCTGTGCTGTGGTTTAGAAAATCTGGATTCAGTCACCTGAGATAAGTGCGCTTTCTCATGGGCAGTTATTAGACTATATATGTCGACACGGCTAAAACCATGATCACCTGGTTTCTGATTGGCTAAGCCGAGAGTGCAATCTGTCATAGCTGACGAGGAATTTAAAGATTGTATTTGCATGTAACTCCAAAGGCAGAACTCTGCAAAATACAAAGAGAAGTGGCTAACATTAAATGCAGAAGTGTCCCATTTATATACTAAATGTGGCCACAACCTCACGTCCACTGCTTCGATATGATGGCTCGGTCTGTAGTGTCTCTATTAAACATGTAAATAGTGCACACAGCTGTTTGCTCATACGTCCAACAGAGTGACAAAGTAAAAGGAATTCCAGTGACACAAGAGATGTAGATCTGTTTATTAATCATTGTTTAGATGATGAACTTGTGAGCACTGGGATTCCTATTATCCTACATCGTATAATCTCTCAATTTTATTAAGAGTGAGTAGAAGCACCAAGAAGAATCTGCAGATGAAAATAAAGTACAAGAATAATTTGTAAACTGGTATCAGTGTAAGGTATTACTATTAGTTCTACTGCCTTTTTTATTAGCTTTTCTTCATAGCTTTGTCTTAATAATCAAGATTTTCTCATTTAGTTTCTTCTGCACAGCATTAAGCTTCAGACCAATTAATTCCTTTTGTATTCAAGCCCACAGGAAGAAGGCAGATGGTGAGAAGTCAGAGGAATTGTTTCAGAGCCACATACACTTTTCAAATAGATTGAAAAATGATGCTCTTTATTAAATTGGCCACATTACCAACCCAATATCACAAATTGCCCCTTGAGAGAAATCTGAGGTCACTGCACACCGACTGTGTGGTGGTAAGAGCACAGCTCCTCTTTGTTGGGCCCTTAATATGAAGCGCTAACAGTTCACATCAAAAAATGATCCCCTCCCGACTTTAAGAACGGGTCAGGACTGGTCAAAGGGTTCTGTCGATCTCTCATTAGGCTGCTGTCTGTTTCTAATTATAAATACTCCAATGTCAGTTTAAATCTGTCATGTTTACATTGAATAAGAGACTAACCTGCTCCTCAGCAGGTTTGAGATTACGGACATGTCACCATGGCAACAAGTCCCTTGGGACTTTTGAAGAACCAACAAATCCATGATCATGTGAAACTGTCAGTTATCCGGCTAACCTGTGAAGTTGTTTGGGTATGATATGAACTAAATTAATTCAGACAAATCATTCCAATTCCAATAATCATTTAATATATTACAATAATTCTAAACAATTCAATGAGTTTGAGACAATTCATCAATCTAGATAGGAAACAGAACAATTCAATGAGAGGAACAAAATCACTGCCTCTACCTGGAAATAAAGAGTATTAAATAAGGGAATGGTCTGAGTCAGTCAGTCACTGTGGCCACAAGGTACAGTCACGTCTATCAAAGTCTGAAGTCCCCTCGCCCCCGGCCGGGTCCGAGCGCACACTCACAACTACCACGCCATTCTTCCGGTCTTCCTCGCCTCACTCCGTTCTTATTCCCAGCTCTCGCTTCCTATCTCCTACGTCAGCCTGGACTCCTGTTCTTTCTAAAGTTCTAAAATTACACATCTTCCCATTGCTTAAGCTGGAATCAGTTTCACGCCAGCTCTACACCCCCTGTTTGAAATGTCCAGTTCATGAACTTCTAGGTTGCACTGACCTGGCGCCTATTTCCTTTTTCTAAACATGAACAGAGCACATGACCATCCACACAGGACAGCAAAACTTAAATGCAACTAAAGCTCAGTTGTCATTGTTTACACACAACGATTCAAAATTGTTCACACTTGTTTCTAATTATGTGGTGAGCAGGTACAAAATATACGCCGGTTCAATGGCACGGGTACATCCAACTATGGATAACAATGACAGGTAGAGGAAGAGTGCATATACGAGGTGGTGGATGAAGATGATAAGGACGAGGAAGACGAAGACCAAGAACAGTAATTTCAGCTGAAATTAGAGCTACTGTGATAGACCATGTTCTCATGCATGGAATGAGTGAGGCAGGACAAAGAGTTCAACCTAATTTGAGCAGATTCTCTGTGGCCACCATAATCAGGACATTCAGAGAAGAGAACAGGTTGTATTTTTTTAACACTGTAATTTCATCATTTCAATTAGTAATTCACTTTATCGATATACTGTAAAGTGAACTGAAAAAATAAAGAAAGCATTTTATGTATAGTAGTCATTTCCATCATACTTTTACTACATGTATGTTTTTTTTTATCATTTTGTAGAACTGCGAGACCACATCAGGGTGGAAGAACTGCTATGTTCTCTCAAAGCAATGCCACCCAACTCCGTGAAATTCAGCAGTTTACTGAAGATAATTTAAATTTTGAAGGGATCAACTATGTACAGTGCCTTGCGAAAGTATTCGGCCCCCTTGAACTTTGCGACCTTTTGCCACATGTCAGGCTTCAAACATAAAGATATAAAACTGTAATTTTTTGTGAAGAATCAACAACAAGTGGGACACAATCATGAAGTGGAACGAAATTTATTGGATATTTCAAACTTTTCTAACAAATAAAAAACTGAAAAATTGGGCGTGCAAAATTATTCAGCCCCTTTACTTTCAGTGCAGCAAACTCTCTAAAGAAGTTCAGTGAGGATCTCTGAATGATCCAATGTTGACCTAAATGACAAAGGATGATAAATAGAATCCACCTGTGTGTAATCAAGTCTCCATATAAATGCACCTGCACTGTGATAGTCTCAGAGGTCAGTTTAAAGCGCAGAGAGCATCATGAAGAACAAAGAACACACCAGGCAGGTCAGATACTGTTGTGCAGAAGTTTAAAGCCGGATTTGGATACAAAAAGATTTCCCAAGCTTTAAACATCCCAAGGAGCACTGTGCAAGCGATAATACTGAAATGGAAGGAGTATCAGACCACTGCAAATCTACCAAGACCTGACCGTCCCTCTAAACTTTCAGCTCATACAAGGAGAAGACTGATCAGAGATGCAGCCAAGAGGCCCATGATCACTCTGGATGAAATGCAGAGATCTACAGCTGAGGTGGGAGACTCTGTCCATAGGACAACAATCAGTCGTATACTGCACAAATCTGGCCTTTATGGAAGAGTGGCAAGAAGAAAGCCATTTCTTAAAGATATCCATAAAAAGTGTCGTTTAAAGTTTGCCACAAGCCACCTGGGAGACACACCAAACATGTGGAAGAAGGTGCTCTGGTCAGATGAAACCAAAATCAAACTTTTTGGCAACAATGCAAAACGTTATGTTTGGCGTAAAAGCAACACAGCTCATCACCCTGAACACACCATCCCCACTGTCAAACATGGTGGTGGCAGCATCATGGTTTGGGCCTGCTTGTCTTCAGCAGGGACAGGGAAGATGGTCAAAATTGATGGGAAGATGGATGGAGCCAAATACAGGACCATTCTGGAAGGAAACCTGATGGAGTCTGCAAAAGACCTGAGACTGGGACGGAGATTTGTCTTCCAACAAGACAATGATCCAAAACATAAAGCAAAATCTACAATGGAATGGTTCACAAATAAACATATCCAGGTGTTAGAATGGCCAAGTCAAAGTCCAGACCTGAATCCAATCGAGAATCTGTGGAAAGAACTGAAAACTGCTGTTCACAAACGCTCTCCATCCAACCTCACTGAGCTCGAGCTGTTTTGCAAGGAGGAATGGGCAAAAATTTCAGTCTCTCGATGTGCAAAACTGATAGACATACCCCAAGCGACTTACAGCTGTAATCGCAGCAAAAGGTGGCGCTACAAAGTATTAACTTAAGGGGGCTGAATAATTTTGCACGCCCAATTTTTCAGTTTTTTATTTGTTAAAAAAGTTTGAAATATCCAATAAATTTCATTCCACTTCATGATTGTGTCCCACTTGTTGTTGATTCTTCACAAAAAATTACAGTTTTATATCTTTATGCAACGTAACCGCATATGCATGAAGCAAATATACAGAGTACCCTGTGAACGCAGCTCTGAAAGGGTCAAAGATCTACGACATCAGTATGTCCAATTAAGTAAACGCTCAGACGGGTTCAGTGCTGATGCTGACAATACACTTCTGAGCTTCTAGCCTACAGTTACTGTAAAGTGCACTATGTTGTTGTGTGTAAATCACGAGTGCATACAAAGACACTACTGTAAAAGTCTTAGTATCACTTGCTACAGTAAATGACTATTTTCGTGAGTGTGTTGGAATTGGATTCCATGGAAAGGGCCCATGAATGAATTTTTGTAGATGAAGCAGGATTCAATCTTATGAAGAGAAGGAGAGGAAGAAACCTAATTGGCCAACATGCAATAATGGAAGTCCCTGGTCAGCTTGGTGGCAATGTCACCCTTTGTGCAGCCATAAGCAATCATGAGGTTCTCCATGCACATGTAACCATAGGGCCATACAATACTGAACATCTTCTCACATTTCTGGCTGGTCTAAGAAAAGTTTTGTTTGAGGGAGAGCAACAGGGTCATCGCAGGAAGTGCAACCTGTCTATGTCATGGTTTGGGACAATGTCAGTTTTCACCATGGTGTCCGAATATGAGTGGTTCAACAACAAGCAGCTAATTTTAAATGTGTTCCTTCCACCATACAGCCCTTTGCTCAACCCAGTAGAAGAGTTTTTCTCTGCATGGTGGTGGAAAGTCTAGGACCGAAACCCAGGGAAAATCTCTTACAGGCAATGGAACTGGCCTGCGGTGACATAGATGTGCAGTCTTGTCAAGGCTGGATCTGCCACACCAGGGTTTTTTTTTTTTGCCTGTTAACTGGCAAGGGACAACGTTGACTGTGATATAGATGAAGTCCTCTGGCCGGGCCCAGCTCAAAGATGTGATCCTGAGTCAGAATAATCTTTCTGATGTGTTTTTCTTCTTCTATTTTGATTGTAACATGGTTTTTAATAAATTCACCATACCTAGGTGTGATTTCCTTTGTGTGTTTTTTACTATATACAATAACTTTTTTTGTAACTACATGCTCTGGATACTGTGTTCTCCATTTTTTGATGTAGTGTCTAATGAACGAGCTGCAGTGTGACTCTTGACTCTTGATTGACTCTTGTGTGTATGATCTGAAATCATTGTTTGATTTTGAGAGCTGGTGAAATGGTTTTGAAGCAATTGTTTGATTTTGCCAGAAGAGTCAGAGGTTTTGTGAATTTAGTTTGTTAGACTATGTATTGTTTATAGCAGCATATTTTTGTGCAAATGTCTCTGGAGAGGATCTTTCATGAAATGTAGGCAGGTTGAAACCAACAGAAGTAATAAGGAAAACAATGAAAAAGTTTGTTAATCTTTAATGACAATTTGATCAAACTGGGTTTCTTTAATTTCAGCCATGTCTATTAAACAACAACACAGCTAGTTTTACACTCAGTCGTGTCTCAATAAGTGAAAAGCTCTGTCTCATAGTGATTCAGTATTAGAGACTGTGCCTGAGGAAAGAACCAGGAAAAGTTCAGGTCTTAGTTCAGTTTGAAGATCTTATGCTGCACAGTGTTTCTAATAGTCTAAGCAGTGCAGTGATGATTGGTTTCTGATGCCCTGGTGCTCCACACCTAGTTATTGGTGCCTGCAGCTGAGATTTCTGAATGATATTTGACATATAATGTCTTCTGATCTAGTTGTCTGTCCCATAGTTCTGTGCAAATATGTAGTATTCACACTAGTGAAGACCTCAAACAAAAGCAGTTCTGAAAGCAGTTCTATACTTCTCTCTGGTGCAAAGCTGTTTTTGAAATTATTAGACCAACATGGTCCTTTGCCGGAAAATGGCTGACTTCTCCCTCTGGGTTGGGAGTGAGCTGCTGCCCCAGGAGTTTAAGTATCTCTGGGTCTTGTTCACGAGTGAAGGTAAAATCGAGCATGACACTGACAGACGAAGAGGGGCAGCATCAGCAGTAATGTGGATGTTGTACCAGACCATTGTGGTGAAGAAGGAGCTGAGCCAAAAGGCAAAGCTCTCATTTATCAGTCACTCTACGCTTCCACCCTCATCTATGGTGATGAGCTGTGGGTAGTGACTGAAAGAATAAGATCGCAAACACAAGCAGCCGAAATTATTTTCCCTCACAGGGTGATCGGACGTAGCCTTAGACATAGGGTGTGGAGTTCAGACATCCAGAAGGGGCTCGGACTAGAACCGCTGCTCCTTCACATCGCAAGGGGCCAGTTGAGGTGGTTTGGGCATCTTATCAAGATGCCTTCAGGGCACCTCCCTGTGAAGGTTTTCTGGGCATGTCCAACTGGTAGGAGACTCTGGGGCAGACCCAGAACACGCTGGAGGGATTATATATCTCATTTGGCCTGGGAACGCCTCGGAATCCCGCCAGAGGAGCTAGAACACATGGCTGGGGGCGAGGGACCTCTGGACCGTCGCTGAGTGCTGCTCAAGGGGGATTGCTTGATCTTTTACCTAGTAATAGTAGTAATGATGATAATAACAGTAAGGTCTACGCCTTACTTTGTAAAGTGTCCTAAGATGACTTTTGTTGTGATTTGTGCTATACAAAAAAAAATAACTGAAAAGATGTTACACTGCAATAAAACAACTCTATCTCCAACTTGAAAAACAGCAGTAACATCCTGAGAAAAACAACTGGAACAGAAGTACTTCTGGTATCTCTCACCCCCACTGAGGCTCTTGAAAAAGAAAAATGATCAAAAACATGGGAGAAAATTTACACTATTAATTTAAACATATAAAAGATGAATAGTCACAAAGGCACTTGTCAGAACAAATTTTTGAAACTTAAATACCAAACTTAACTGTATAAATGTTAAAATTTCAATCACCACAACTAAAAGGTTTCTCTCCTGTATGGACTTTCATGTGCAGGTTAAGGCACTGCTGTCGGGTAAATATTTTTCCACAATCACCACAAATAAAAGGTTTTTTTCCTGTGTGGCAGCTCATGTGCACCTTAAGATTCCCCCTTTGGGTAAATCTTTTCCCACAATCACCACAAACAAAAGGTTTGTCTCCTGTGTGGACTCTCATGTGCAGGTTAAGCACCTCCTGTGTGGTAAACCTTTTTCCACAATAATCACAAAGAAAACGTTTCTCTCCAGTGTGGACTCTGATGTGCCTTTTAAGATGCCCCTGTTGGGTAAATCTTTTCCCACAATCACCACAAACAAAAGGTTTCTCTCCTGTGTGGACTCTCATGTGATCTTTAAGTCTCCCCTGTGTGATGAATCTTTTCCCACAGTCATCACAAACAAAAGGTTTATTTCCAGTGTGGACTCTCACGTGAGTTTCAAGATTCCCACTTAGGGTAAATCTTTTCCCACACTCATGACAACTAAAAGGTTTCTCTTGTGTGTGTCGTCTCATGTGCAGCTTAAGAGGAAACTGGTGGGGAAATCTTTTCCCACACTCACCACAACTAAAAGGTTTTTCTCCTGTGTGGCATTTCATGTGCTGTTTAAGATTCCCCCTGAGGGCAAATCTTTTCCCACAATCACCACAAACAAACGGTTTGTCTCCTGTGTGGACTCTCATGTGCAGGTTAAGACACTGCCGTCGAGTAAATTTTTTTCCACAATCAACACAAAGAAAAGGTTTCTCTGCAGTGTGGACTCCTATATGATTTTTAAGCTCCTCCTTTGTGATGTATCTTTTCCCACACTCATGACAACTAAACGGTTTCTCTCCTGCATGGCGTCTCATGTGCACCTTAAGAGGAAACTGGTGGGTAAATCTTTTCCCACACTCACCACAACTAAAAGGTTTTTCTCCTGTGTGGCGCTTTGTGTGCAGCTTCAGATTTCCCCTTTGGGTAAATCTTTTCCCACAATCTGCACAACTAAAAGGTTTTTCTCCTGTGTGGACTCTTATGTGCAGCTTAAGCATCTCCTGTGTGGTAAATGTTTTCCCACACTCACCACAACTAAAAGGTTTTCCTCCTGTGTGGCATCGTATGTGCCTTTTAAGATTACCCTTTTGGGTAAATCTTTTCCCACAATCACCACAAACAAAAGGTTTGTCTCCTGTGTGGACTCTCATGTGCAGATTAAGACACTGCTGTCGGGTAAATCTTTTTCCACAATCACCACAAATAAAAGGTTTTTCTCCTGTGTGGCATCTCATGTGCATGTTAAGATTCCCCTTTTGGATAAATCTTTTCCCACAATCACCACAAACAAAAGGCTTGTCTCCTGTGTGGACTCTCATGTGATTTTTAAGCTGCTCCTTTATGTTGAATCTTTTCCCACACTCACCACAACTAAAAGGTTTCTCTCCTGTGTGGCATCTCATGTGCACTTTAAGACACTGCTGTCGGGTAAATCTTTTCCCACAATCACCACAAACAAAAGGTTTCTCTCCTGTGTGTCGTCTCATGTGCAAATTAAGATTGCCCCTGTGTTTAAACCCTTTCCCACACTCAGAGCAGCTAAAACAAGACTGTCCAGCTAAGCTCTTGGCTCCAGGCTCCTCCTCTCTTCCCTCCTCAGTCTGACACTGAAGAGACTGTAAAGACTGAGGTCTCTCCTCATCCTCTTCAGTCTTCACATGGACACCAGTGGACAGGAACTTGGTGTCGTCGGCCTCCTCTAGTTCCTGCAGCTGCTCTGCCTCCTGACTGGTCCAGAGTTCCTCATCTTCCTCTTTGATGTGTGGGGGCTTTGGGTCCTCCTGGTCCAGACTGCGACTCTCCTCTGGGTGGGCCTCTTCTTTAATCACCAATAGATGCTGGATGTCTGCAGGGAACAATGAAACACACATTATGGACAGCTGTGACTTTATCACTGGTATCTTTTCTGAATGTCAGTGACATCACTGATGATTCCTCTACAGATCTGCACCACTTGAAATGTTGTCACCACGAACCAGTGGTGGAAGAAGTATTCTCCTCCAGTAACCGGCCACGGAGGTTCCAGGTGTCCAGCTTGCTCTTGGATTATTCATCTTGTTATTGTCATTATTCATATCTCCCCCCTGACCTGGCATCCTGGCTCCCCCTTACTGTAGCATTCATGTTGCTACTAGTTGTTTCACGAAGTATCCATAGATCCCACATCCTCCATATATAACCCCGTAGTAGCATTCCAATAGTTCCAAGTGTCCTTGGGCAAGACACTGTACTCACAACGATGGTTAGAGCCAGTCCATGAATGTCTTGTTCCCACTTCTCATCAGGTTTCCCTGGTTCCTCAACACCTGACGCGGACCTTGTTGGCCCAGGTGATGTCTGAGCCGGTGTGACTCTTATTTTTCCAACTCTCATTACCCTTTTGCCTAAGGACCCAGGGCTAGATATTGACCGCACCCTGACCAGGGTTCAAACCCCCGACCTTCCGTACCAAAGTCAATGGTGTTAGCCACTGAGCTATCCAGTCAGCACAGATGCATATATTTCATCTGTCTGTGTCCAAACAGTACAATGTGAAATATAAAGTAGATAAAGAAGATAAATAGTAACACAATAAATCTAAAGGCACTTTAAAACAGCAAGTGAAAATGTAATATAAAATATATATAATAAAAATATAATAAAGAGTGTATGCTGCATCGAAGGCTGTATGTGCAACAGTCAAATCAATGTGCAATTGACGAACAGAAGCATTATTTATTGTCATTGTAACATTGTGACATGTACAACAAAATTATGTTTGGAGCCGAGAGCCACAGGCCGCTGCGTGCCATACCACTGACGCCTTTTAGTGGGTAGAGCGGTCATCTCCCAACCAAAGGGTTGGAGGTTCGAATCATGGTGCCTGCAGTCCACATGTCAAAGTGTCCTTGGGCAAGACACTGTACTCACAACGATGGTTAGAGCCAGTGCGAGTTGGCACCGCAGATGGCTGCCTCGATTCTGCCTTGTGTGTGTAACATACTTGGCCAAATAAACGGTGATTATCTTTATGATGGCTATGTGAGGAGTCTGAGGGCGTTTCTAGGCAGGCAAGCCTTTAGACACCTTTGACTGCAAGTAGTCATTTGGTACATGTGTAGTCCACTCTTTCATTACTTAGCCATAATGGATGGTAAAGCACTAGAATTCTACTGTTTGTTGTTATATACAGTATGCACAGATGCATATATTTCATCTGTCTGTGTCCAAACAGTACAATGTGAAATATAAAGTAGATAAAGAAGATAAATAGTAACACAATAAATCTAAAGGCACTTTAAAACAGCAAGTGAAAATGTAATATAAAATATATATAATAAAAATATAATAAAGAGTGTATGCTGCATCGAAGGCTGTATGTGCAACAGTCAAATCAATGTGCAATTGACGAACAGAAGCATTATTTATTGTCATTGTAACATTGTGACATGTACAACAAAATTATGTTTGGAGCCGAGAGCCACAGGCCGCTGCGTGCCATACCACTGACGCCTTTTAGTGGGTAGAGCGGTCATCTCCCAACCAAAGGGTTGGAGGTTCGAATCATGGTGCCTGCAGTCCACATGTCAAAGTGTCCTTGGGCAAGACACTGTACTCACAACGATGGTTAGAGCCAGTGCGAGTTGGCACCGCAGATGGCTGCCTCGATTCTGCCTTGTGTGTGTAACATACTTGGCCAAATAAACGGTGATTATCTTTATGATGGCTATGTGAGGAGTCTGAGGGCGTTTCTAGGCAGGCAAGCCTTTAGACACCTTTGACTGCAAGTAGTCATTTGGTACATGTGTAGTCCACTCTTTCATTACTTAGCCATAATGGATGGTAAAGCACTAGAATTCTACTGTTTGTTGTTATATACAGTATATTTATTTATTCAGCTGTAACCTGATGGGGATAAAGTGCTGCTCACCTCTACAGGTAAAATCAGACCAGACATAGGTTTACTTACATCTCTCTCTCTGTAAAATTAAGCTCACAGCAATAAAGATTTTGGTGATTTTCATTTGGAAAGTGTTGAGGATAAAACATGTGTTACACATTTAAACATTTTAGTCAACAACATTTAATAGCCTATCTATATATAAACATAAAAGTAATCAGAGTAAATTAAATGCTGCGTATGTAACAGACCATATTCAGTGGTTCACTTTTAAACTGCTTTTAGTCCAGTTTAAATTCTTTAGGATGCTCTACAGTCATCCTCACTCAGAAAGCAGGATCCACGAGCACGGGTTGAACTGGCGTTAACTACACTACTGGGGATGAAACATAAGGAAATCCTGGACAAACTGGTTAATGCTGGAGCCTTAACTGTTAATGCTAACGAAACGGTTCCCGTCGCTGTCCCTTCACATTAAAAGCACTCCATTGTCAAACCAACGAATGACTTGTTATTGTGAAGCAGCCACAGGAAATGCAATCACTTCTCACCGACGACAGGCGCTTTCTGACCAACCATTGACCCAACGCACCGCCAGTAGGAACGAAGAGATAACGTAACACGAAGCCGGTCGGCTGTTAGCGATTAGTCAACAAGCTCACAGCGGCTAACAACGTTACATTACTTTATATGTTGCTAACGTTAATTGTAAATGAGCCACTAACCTTTTGCAGAAGCTTCCATTGTCGCGGTGCAGCTCCTAAATACCGCCATCTTGGAGTTCGACCAGCCAATGACGTAGAGTGCACAAAGCATTGTGGGATTGTATGGGCTGGGAACAGAGCCGAGCTATAGAAGTCCATTATCTCCACTGCAATGAAAAATGAAACCTGTATCTCAAAGTATAGATACAGTAATAATCAAATGATACCTAATAAGTAAACAACACTGCTTCTGCCATGGTATATGACTAAAAATAAAGTAAAAATCCTTGGAAAGATAAATCATGTACATAGTTCAAATTTAACAAAAATGTTATATGTTTTTATAGCTTATTCTTGACACTTGTGATTATAGTGCCATATTCATAATGTTGTCACCACGAACCAGTGGTGGAAGAAGTATTCTCCTCCAGTAACCGGCCACGGAGGTTCCAGGTGTCCAGCTTGCTCTTGGATTATTCATCTTGTTATTGTCATTATTCATATCTCCCCCCTGACCTGGCATCCTGGCTCCCCCTTACTGTAGCATTCATGTTGCTACTAGTTGTTTCACGAAGTATCCATAGATCCCACATCCTCCATATATAACCCCGTAGTAGCATTCCAATAGTTCCCTTCTCTTGTCCATGAATGTCTTGTTCCCACTTCTCATCAGGTTTCCCTGGTTCCTCAACACCTGACGCGGACCTTGTTGGCCCAGGTGATGTCTGAGCCGGTGTGACTCTTATTTTTCCAACTCTCATTACCCTTTTGCCTAAGGACCCAGGGCTAGATATTGACCGCACCCTGACCAGGGTTCAAACCCCCGACCTTCCGTACCAAAGTCAATGGTGTTAGCCACTGAGCTATCCAGTCAGCACAGATGCATATATTTCATCTGTCTGTGTCCAAACAGTACAATGTGAAATATAAAGTAGATAAAGAAGATAAATAGTAACACAATAAATCTAAAGGCACTTTAAAACAGCAAGTGAAAATGTAATATAAAATATATATAATAAAAATATAATAAAGAGTGTATGCTGCATCGAAGGCTGTATGTGCAACAGTCAAATCAATGTGCAATTGACGAACAGAAGCATTATTTATTGTCATTGTAACATTGTGACATGTACAACAAAATTATGTTTGGAGCCGAGAGCCACAGGCCGCTGCGTGCCATACCACTGACGCCTTTTAGTGGGTAGAGCGGTCATCTCCCCACCAAAGGGGTGGAGGGTCGAAT